AACGGACCTCAGGAAGTAAGATCGCGCTTGCGCGCAAACTGGCTGCGAGTTTGCGATCCTCAGCCCCTGACACCAAGGTTGTCCAATGCACCGAGCATCCAGAGCTGGAACAATGAGTTCAGGATTGTGTCCTCGCAATCGTGGCGCGCCCTGAAGTCGCATGACGTGGTCGTGGTTCGCCGTGGATTCCAAGGGTTGGTGTACATCACAAACGACACCGAAAATGAAAAAGTCCAACACAAGGTGACCTAAACTGGCTCAAATCCAAGGCGGATTCAAGTTTGGCGCAACCCGCAGACCACTACGCGCTCGAAATGTTAGCTGGGAATCTTAGAACAACACAAACCATGTGTCAAGGCATGACCTGGCGCTAGTCTCACGGCCCGTTGAGCCTTTGGTCTGTTGTTTCAAAGCTGGTTGCGGCTCCGTTTTGGCAACACCCTGACTTTGGTGGCGCATGAACATCATGCACCCAGTCAAAACCAAACCCTGGTACTACAGGGGTGCAACCAAATCCAGGGTGAAGGATCGGGAGGGCGGATCTCCGCAGCCCTCTGACCCCTCTCTGACCCACTAGGCTCGGACACACGCCCTCTGACTGATTTGGTTCCCTTTCGGATGCGTCTAGTGATCCTCCTGTGCAAGCTGAGGCACGAGAAACAAAAATAAGCCCATCGAAGGCGTCCCTGGACTGATGCGCATGTTGCTTGGTTGCATAGGTGTTCTTCTAGCTGGGCGGCTTTGGAAAAGTGCATGTTACGCCGGGTGTGGCTGAAATGGCTGGGTCGCTGCCAAATGATGTTTGTCCTTTCCGCTTTGGGTCGTTCTTGACTCCTTAGTTTCTGCTGTTGGGTTCTGCCATGGTGTCGGTTGCCACCGCTGGAAATATCATTGGCTTTGCCAGTTCCTGTTGTGGGTCGGTGTTGCTGCTGTGGTGGCTGAGAATGGCTGTCGCGATCATTTCTTGCCGCCCGCTGTTGCAAACTGCTGCACTTCTTACCTGATAGTCGAGGTGCGTTCGCGTTTCAGGTTGCACTCTGCCGAGCCTGTATTACTTGCAGTCCTCTCACCTTCGTCAGCTGTTGGAACACATCAGTGTAACTTCAGTTGGACTCTTTTGGGTACCTCTCCCAAAAAACGATCAGTAAAACGGACACCTGATCTGTGGAGGGTGCCTGTTCCAATCTGGGTCTCTTTTTGTGCTGGATGCTCTCTTTGGCATTGCTTAGCTTCGGGAGAAAAAGGGGAAGCCCTTGGGCCCTATCGCGGGGGGTCCAACCAACTTTAGGAACACCTGTCCCTACGCGTGACAAGGAAAGCCATCCACAAAGGCAAAGACCCTCTTCCATACCTCTTGGCATTTGTTAACTATGTTTCACAAACTGTAAACAAGTAAGCTCCTTACTTCATGGGCTAGAATGCTCGTTTACCCCTCTGGTTTTTTTTTGGGCTGGAGAGGGGGGGTGTTGTCAAATTGTGGATTCCTTTTTGGATCCCCTTTAAACGGCGGCACCTCGGGCAATGGGGGCTGTACAGGGGCCGCAAGCCCGTTCTCAATTCCTTGCTCTCACTTCCCCCAGTGGATTGGCAAGACAAAAAGTCATCACACTTGTTGCTTGCTGTGGCCCCAAACCTAAGTGACTCTTGCGCGCAATGCGCCGAGGCTGATCCAGTGAGGCTCGCAACGTCTCCTGCGGCGGCGGGTCCATGAAGCCGAAAGCGAGCAAGTCTTTGATCTGATCGACCGAGCGTCCGAGCGGCCCAGGCTTCGGGGCGATCGATGCGATCGATTTGGTACGTCAGGTGAGTGCTCGGAAGCCTGGTGAGTTATGACCCACTGAACGGAGACTCTTAGGAGACTTATAACCATGGCTTTTGTCCGGTTGTAACCAGGCTTCCTAACCACATACTACGTACAATGCTCCTTTAAGTAATCATCACCCCCAAGAACTACTCCCACTTGAACCAAAACCACAACAAGTGATGTTGCAGCCGCCCAAGGGGAACATCTTGAGGGCCCCTGACAGCGAAAAATGGCGGCTCCTCTTTGTGGGGGCTCTTTGCATTTCTGGCGCGTTGTTGTTAGAAATAAAACCCAAGGGACACGGCCAGCCCAATGTTCAGGTGTGCAAGCAAACAACCAAACAACTGAGTTCTTTGTCAGCGAGCAGCATGAACAAACCCAAGCAAAAACTTTCAAAGGCCTGCAGTGACTTTCGCAGTGGTTCTGGGAAGCGCGCTTTCATTGGGAAAAGAACTGGATAGGAGTATCTCTAAAAGGAGAACCCAACAGACTGGTTGTTTCCTTCGGCATCACCTCAAACAAAGACACGAATCACCGAAAATTCTAGGCCTCTCTGAGGTCGAATGCTGTTGTGAATTCTATGTCCACTTCGGACAAAACCTGACAAAATTACCATTGGGTGTGATTTCCCTTTAACCCACCGTTAAAAGAGGGGATATCATTCGGGATATAGCCGAATGACTCCCAGCCGGCTCTCGAAAGCGATCGGTGAAAGCATGTTGTCTCCACCCACAATACCAATACAAACAAACCCAGCAAGCCAGCGCCAGCAAACAAGCAAGCAAGCAACGTCTGACCACAAGGAAGGCAATGAATTTACATGTGCAATGGCAAGTCGACACAAAAAACTGTGCGCGGCCCTCCCAGAGAATCTGTGCTGAAGCCCACAAGGCTGGAAAACGACTCTGACCTGTCTGCGCCGCGCCCGATCCAAAATGCACCAGGTGCACGCTGAGATGTGGATCTCGCTTTACATTGATTACCTCAACTCCGAGTAGATTGGCCAGAAAAAGTCCAAACTTTGCGTTTGCCACTAAGATGGTCTTCCCAACAAAGTCCAAAGTCCAGGAACTCAGGAAGTGAGTTAGGGGTTGGTGACTCGCTTTACCCTCGTTCGGTGAGCTGGGTCAGAAGTTGAGCACACCACATCTACAATTTGTGCACTGAACAGTCCAGCTGCCGCTTGTCCATGGCCACTCTTTCATGCTGAAACTGTGGTTAGCAAAGCAGCAAAGCCCAGCGTTTCCGCTTGCCGTTGCTTTTACGCTCAAGTATTTATACGACTTTTTACCCCTGAATAGCTGCAGCAGCAAGACTCGGGCAAGGTTGGGGCAAAGGGCACCCTATGGCACCCTTGAACTTGAATGCAGGCAACCTCTTGAACACTCGACTCATGGACCGTTGGAGCACTTAAGGCTTCAAACCTAGGGCAAAGACCTCCATTCGTCTCATCCCTTCTTTTGGGAAGTCTTGGCATCCGAAGACGAGCTCTGGAAAAGCGGGTGATCAGCTTGAAACCTTCCGAGAGCCCAGGCCCCCATAGACTTCAAGAGCAAGACAACGTTGGCCAAGTTCGTACCTCACGGCCAAAGAAAAACCAACAAAAAGCAGCCCGGTGTTGCCGGCGAACAAACAGGGAAGGCCGCGATTCTTTTTCCGGGTTTAATGCTACCACAGGAAATGTGCGTATATCCTGCCAGCCTTTAGCGGACATTCCCCCAACCCCATTCTTGTCCACAAAGGGGGGTTATGATCGATCAGGGCAAAGCTTCCTGAAGCCATGGGCCTCTTACAAGACAACCTCAGGTTTGCAAGAGACTCTGGGGTCAGTTTGACCGGGACCTTTCGATGGCACATGTGTATACGACCATGAAACCTAAAGTGCTCAGTTTCAAATGGTGGCATCCTGGCAGAAAGCGTATCATCGAACTTCAGACCTAAAACGACTTGGACATGGCTCGAAAGAAAAGGTGTCCCACCCCCCAATGCTGGTGTTCTGTTGGCCCTGCTAAAAGCCAACGTGCCAAACCAAGATGTTGCGTCGTCTTTGGCTGCTTGCTTGGCCGTATTCGCCCGCAACCCTTGCTTGTGTTTGTTTGGGTGGGTAGGGTAGATGCGTATTTGCAACGGAAACCGACCACACAAAAAAAAATGGGAGTCGGGTTTCCCTTGCTCCCGACTTGCAATCTATCAACCTGGCGAAACTTCAAAGACTAAATGTATGCACCCATGTAGGAGCCCCTAGTTGATTTGTGCATTCAGCGTTTCCATGGCCTTATGCGAAATCAGCATGAGGCTCCAAAATGGCCACGGGTTCATATATGGACCTATCAGCCTTTGAAGCGACTGAAGCCTTGGACCAACTTTCCAAGTTCCTGGCGCTGGATCTCGGGGATGGTCATCGTGAGCATCTCAGACACGTAGGCGCTCTCCGTATACAAGCGCCAGCACCTCGCAAAAAAACGCACAAGGCTCCGCCGGGCGTCCATCCATAGGTGGCCTTTCGGAAAAAGTAGATGGATTTCCCTGGTAAATGGGACATAAAACCCCAGTTAGTCTTAGCCAAACTAACCCAAAAAGGACACCTATGGATCCATCACTTTCCTGAGCTGCAAAACGTGGGGAATTGTCTTTTGAAGTGGAAAATCCAGTGACGTCAGAGTGAACTTGCATCACGTGGTATCGCTGAGAAAGTTTGCAGAATGTTTCAAGTTGTTGGGTGCTTTGCTTCAAGTCATGCAATGCACTAGCAACCTACTTTGACACTCCTACTGTCGGGGAGGGGGACACTCCTTTCTGGGTTCCGGCAGACGTTCCAAGCAGCCCTCTGGCAGTCTGGGCCTCCCGTCGCCCCGGGCCCGGTGCGCCCAGCACGGCCCCGTCGCTGGTTAGCCTGAGTCGATGGCCGTGTCTAAAGGGGGGTGGTCCCCCAGTTCCAGTTGTCCAGTCTTGAAAAGGAATATGGAACCATACATGGAATTCCAAGGGTCACCCCCTCCCCCAACTCGATCTTTAAGAAAAAGGATGTTTTAGTCAGAATGCCGCAAGACACGGCGCTCCAATGCGCCATGTCAACCAGCGTGTGATGCGTTGGTTGCCCTTCAGGCGTCCAAGGGTTGAACTTCCCACACTCAAACCCTTGCGTGGGCCCCCCTGCGTTGGCTTGCGAGATGGGAGTCACCTGCAAGCTATCCATTCCTCAGCGCTTTGCCGGGCAAAGCTGCGACAGTTCGAAGGAGCCGAATTCCTTTCGAGGAGCTGGTATGGCTTCAGCCACCCTAATTCTTGTCTGGATGTCCCCGAATTCCGGGGAGGGTGCACTGACCAAGGCCCTTTCTTTTACGAGCCTTTCGGAACATTGGGCGTGCCTGGCACCTGAACCCTTTGGTTTCTAGCCAAGCGAACCTAAGCGTTGAACCCATCTTGGGGTTGTAGATCTTCAACTTGCAGTAGCCTGCCGAGGCCGCGCCGCCCAATGTGTAAGGGACACTCGGGGACTCAGACAGTCCCAGAAGCCGACCTTTTGGACACCAGGATTCAGACAGACAGGCAGGCAGGCAAGCACAGACACACGGACAGGCACAGGCAAATCAATAAGCAGAAAGGCAAACAGCTGAACAGAGATGAAGAATCTGACGCTAACAAACACAAGAAAACAGACACAAACGCACACACACACACAGACGCACACACACACACAGACGCACACACACACACACCCACCCACCCACCCACGCACGCACGCACGCACGCACGCACGCACGCACGCACGCACGCACGCAAGCACGCACGCACGCACGCACGAAGACACGCACAAAGACACGGAGGGACAAAGAGACACACAAAGATGCACAAAGTCTCACAAAGACACTCCAAGATAGCACGCTGACACGCAAAGACTCACAAACACTGCGAACACACACTCACGCAAAGACACGATCACCCGCAATACACATTTCTTTAAAAACCCACACACACACAAGCACACATGAACAAACACACACACACACAGAAAAACAAACAACTTACGCAACACAAACACATACACACACACACACAGACACACGAGCACGCAAACATGCAAACATACAAGCACGCAGTCATGCAAACACACATGTGCACCAACACAAATCACACACACACACCAACAAAGAATCCAAGATGCAAAAACGCCCACACACACGCAAAAGCGAAAACACGCACACAAGCACTTGAAAGCGAACACACCCGCGCACATGGTCACACAGCACACGCACACACACGCAAAAAGAAACACACAAACAAAGACACCAACCAACCAGCCAACCAAACAAACACAAACAAAACAACACAAAACAAACATACGAACAGACGAACAGACGAACAGACGAACAGACAAACAGACAAACAGACAAACAGACAAACAGACAAACAGACAAACAGACAAACAGACAAACAGACAAACAAACAAACAAACAAACAAACACAGGTACAAAAGCCAAAAGCAACCAAGCAAAACACACAAGCAGGCGAATAAGAAAACAAAAAACACTAGCAAAGAAACAAACACAAACACAAGTACAAACACAAACAAGCAAGCAACTACAACACACACGCACGCACGAACGCACGCACGCAAGCACGTACGCACACCCGCACGCACGCAAGCGTAGAGAAACACACACACTTAAACTCCAAATGGAGAGTGCTAATCTTTCGAGTACAACTGATGAGTCTCGAGTACAACTGATAAGTCTCGAGTATGATGAGGTTCGACTCGCATAACGCTTGGCTTCCCTGTAGTTACTTTAACAGGGACACACAGAAGCAACGGCAGTTCAGGGGGGGACCAAAAGGACATTCAGAACAACACAACCATTTCGGCAGGTACGTCTGACTGATCAGGTCAGATATCAGCGCAGGTCACGACCCTCTTCGTTGGGTCACCGGTCGTGACTGCGGGTGACCCCCCTGCTGAGAAACCGAAAGGGTGGTGACAGGGCATTCTGTCACTCCGCACACACACGCCCCTCAATGAGGGGCGAGAAGTCTCCTTTTCCGCAGGAAGATCACATGCTCAACCCCGTGTCCCTATCGTTGACCAAAAAATCCACCGCGGCGAGGGGAACGAGAAACAGCCCTAAACCGCTCAGAAGACGGGAACGAGAGATCACCACGTTGAGCATTACGAGTGTCGCCATAGAGGACTGAAGCGAGTTGTGAAGCAGTCGAGCGATCACCATGAGAAAACGGAGTAGCATAGGTGAACGTCTCCTCAACTGGAATGGCATCGGAATTCCGAACTTCACCAAGAGATTGATCATGCGAATGATGAGTTGTGAAGGACTCCATTCGAGACAGAATGCGCTGGTATCCCTGATGCTGCCAGTCGCGGATGGTCCATGCCTGACCGTGCTCACCAGTGCGCCCATTGGGATCAGTCACCCGCTGCCATTCCCGAAAAGAATTGTCTGGTAGATCAGGTACAGTTTCTCCGTGGTGCCATCGCTGAGGCTGTCCTGCAGTGTAGATCCGCACCCACTCCTGATCCTGCCAGACCGAGTATTCGAGCCATGGGTGCTGCTTCGAATCCTCGATGTCCATGTCGAAGTAAGAGGCAAGGCGTATCGCGGGCTCCGATCCAGCTGATAGAGGAACAGGCACCATGCACAACCATGTACAAGCAACAACCAAGCAAGGTAATGCAAGTGTGGAAACCACCCTTATTTTGTATGCTACCCCACTCGCGTGCGTCTAGTCCTCATTTAGCTCGAAGATAGGTCTCGCCTTGGCTTTGCAGCTGTCGGGAGGATTAACAGGCCGGTATGGGTCGGAGACCCCAACAGTCTCCGATGGTGTGATTCCACGTGATGCACGTACAGGTTGATGAAGTTGGGAAGCGTGACGTGCGCGAGCTGTCAGTTGTTGAGAAATCCCCTCTTGGAGACGAGTCAGTTCTTCGGTAGAGAAATCCGCCGCATCCGAGGATCTAAGGATCGCTTCTAACATCTGCGGTGACATACTCAATGCCGCGGATTGCGTGGCCACGCTGTGATGATCAGGAAAAGACATAGAATCAAAGTCATGACCAGCTTGAGGGGCAGCGACTCTCCGATAGCCCTCTGTGGCCCAGTCTCTTTTGTACCACATGGTGACATTGAGCTGCTCACCGTCTTGGTCCGGGTTGGGAGCATAGAACTCCCTCCACTCTCTATACGTGTGCGGTGGAGGTGGAGCATCATGTTCTTCATGTGGAGTCCATGATCCCGGATGAAAGATCTTGACCCACTGGGCATCTGGTTGTTGAGGATCCGGACACCATTCCAGCCACGGCATGACAACGCAAACCCGGAAAGACAAATTGATAGGTACGGCTGCAGACAACAATTACTGAAAGAGACACAACTACCACAGTGCAAGAAATCACTTTTGCAGCAATGCACGGCTCCGGTATCGAAGTCAATCTCCCGAATCGAATTGAACTGAACAGACTCCCCAGGAAGGCGAGGACGAGCATCAGCCACCATCCGAGTTGGAGGATGCCGATGAAGAGGTCAATCCAGCGTACATGAGGTCCGGTGCGCCCGAAGCGAAAACTGGCCGCGCAATGCTAGGGTGTGGGCGACCCAGCCGTTGGTATCCCCTGGTGACCCAGTCTCTATAATGCCAAGTATAGAAGGATGCATAAGATACCGGCTGCGAAACAGCACCTGTATTGGTGCCGCCTGTGCTATCCCTCGGCCAATACACTTCGAAGTGGTAAACCTTGCGCCATTCCCGATAGGTGGTTGAGTCATCCGGGGCTGGTCCCAAGGTGTTCTCGGCGACTGGATGCCACGGACCCGGTACATAGATCCGAATCCATTCTACACTCGTATTCGCGGGGCCATTGACGATGTCGTAGTCAAAGTAGCGAGGCAGGACCCATCGTGCTGCGCTATACATTGTACAATTGAACATATCAACCAGGCAAACCGCTCAGAGTCAAATGAAAGCGGCGAACAACTGGAGACGGAACGCACAACACCAAGCAAGACAACTCAACATGGAATCGCACACAAAGCAAGCACAACCGCGTCATTTTATCCGACATGTTGCTCAAGTATCACTCCGAATCGTTCCAAGGATCATAGAATGGTGGTGGTGACGGCTCTCGCCACGCCCCATCCGGAACCGATGAGTCCACCGAGGAATTGGCGTCTGCATTCACGAGCATCGCGAGTCCAATGGCTGGTAAAGGAGCTCCAAGTCGTTGATACCCTCGTGTTTGCCAGTCTCGGTACTCCCACACGTGGTAGGACACATACGAACTGGGCGTGACAATGGGATCCGCTGTTGTTCCTCCGGTGCTGTCTTCGGACCAGTACACTTGGAAGCGATATGACCTGCGCCACTCCCGATACGTGGAAGCGTAGACCGGGGCGAGCACTGGAGCATCATCGGGAACGGGTCGCCACGTGCCCGGTGAGTAAATTCGAATCCATTCCACTCCTCTCTCGATCTGGTACTCGAAATATTGAGGGTTCATAGCGGCAAGACAGGCTATCGCGCGGCCGCTAAAAGCAATCGAAAATCTGCGGCGAAGACACACATGCAATGACAACCGCGCGCAGCTGAAGTGTCAACCAAAGCAATGCAAGGCAACTTTTCAAACTCAAGGTGAGACACAGCAGCGAGGTTTGTAATATACGACTTATACGACGCCTAAGCTTCACCGCCGTTGATGCCGCGCACACCTGCAATGATAATGTCCTGGTCGTCTACGAGCACAAGGGGAAAGACATTTCCGCCCATGGCGCAGGAAGGCATGACAGTAATGCTTGCAATTTGCCGATGGGGACAGCGATGGACGGTCAGCACGTTTGGAGGGGAACACGGTAAAGGGCCGCCGAGATCTCCGCGGTGCAGAAGCGGATGCTGTCCGAGATCGTTTGGATGAACGCCCTGGACTGCGTAGCTCTTCATCACGGGAATTGTCAGTGCTGTAGATCGAGCGGCGTGTGCGCTGCGATTTCGATGTGGCAGGGCAGGATTGTCCGCGAGGAGCTGAGATCGAGGGGCTCCGTACTGAGGGCATAAACTGTGGGTGTAGAATCACCGGTGGTGGTGGCGGTGGAGGAGGCGGAGGTGGAAGAAGCAGTGGGAAACTTGGTGGGGGCGGAGGTGACGTAGTCTGCCGAATGGGTCTGTCAAGCAGGGCACCAGGTCCGTGAAACT